AAAAAAAAAAAAAAAAAAAAAAAAAAAAAAAAAAAAAAAAAAAAAAAAAAAAAGCAAACCAAATTCAACCTGGACATAAGCAATCGTATTAACCGGGTTCAACCTCCTAACTTTAAGCTGGAGATTCTTCTTGGCCAAATCACCTTTATCTCTGCCCTCGGCCCTCCTCTTGTTAAACCCAAAAGACGCAGCCTCAGCCTCCTCCATAGCCGCCGATTTCTCTTTCCCTTTGATCTCTCTCAAACTACTATTGTTTCTCCGATTGAAACTTTGCGAAGGGGGTGCACCGCTGCGGCGGCGTTTCGGGGAGGAAGCGGCGAGAACGGTGAAGATAGAACGGGATTTGGGAGAGCAGAAGGAAGGGAATTTTGAAGGAGAGAGAGCGGGGAAAGAAGAGAGGAAGAGGAAGCGAAGAGTTGAAAGGTGCGGCAATGGCATTGTGTAATCTCAGGGCCTTATTTACAGGGTGTGATTCATTGAGAGAGGTTTAAGCAGGATTCTAGGAGAAGGGAGGAGAGATATGTACGGATCCGTCGGCCCCATTATCCACTCCATGTAAAGGCCCACTAATTAGGGTTTTATAGTTGCTTAATATATGAGTTGTGATGTATTCATGACTTGGTTGTTATTATACGATAATATTTCGTAATTAATGTCATATCCATCTTCATGGTGTACTAATTGGTGGCGACTGCACGTTGATTATTCATGATCACGACCATAGTCACCTTTAGATAGTGACTACTAATTGGTATTTATGATCACTACCATAGCTACCTTCCCATGGTGTTAATTAATCAGTAGTGGTTGGACATTGGTTATTTGCAATCTATCATCATATCCACCTATAAGTGGTGATAATTAATTGTCGTTAATCGCACATTTGTTGTTCATAATTATTACTATGGTCACTATAGGGTGATGTATAACGTATTTGTAGAAAGGTTACTTATAGTATGTATGAGTTAGCTATCCATTAAGATCTCTTGATTTCTTTTGATCAGTCTTACAATAGAACATAATGTTGTGGATTCCAATATTGAGTTGTATTTGCCTTTAGTGAGTTTCCCAATTTCGATGAACACAAGGATGATAGATTTGACGTTCTCTAAAATTCAAAATTTCGGTTAAATTAATAAAAATACTCAAAACTTTGTCAGAAAAGGAGTATTGAAGAAGGACCAAGTTGAAATAACTACATAGCTAAATTCTACAAACAGAAGAAATCCTAATAACTTGAAGATTCTGCTTGGAGCTTAGTTTACAGGTAATGACCACTCAACTTGCATTTGTTCTTCAGGGAAAGGAATGGAAGCGCAGCAATGGTAGTATCCGTTTTCATCAAATGCAAATCTTTGAGAGAGATGAGCTTCACGAATATGATACACACCCCACTCCTCTGACCCATACTGCTTGAAAATTTCACGAGTGTCGAATGAATCGAACTTCTTTTTCCTTTTATTTCTGAAACATCGCAGTGTCGTAACATCAATCGCGACAGAGAGAAATCAAACAATTCAGGATTCTAAATAGAGATTTGCACATGGAAGGAACTAGAGAGAAGAGTTGAATGAAATGGTGTACCTTTTCCTATGTCTTGCATTCATAACAGTAGCATGCAACTGAATATTGAGAATGAGGTAAAAAACTCTTTAAGTATAGGTACATCAGAAGATCACATTGTTGGATCGAATTAAATTGCGAAGTAACGAACAAAACATTTTGATATTTGAATCTTGACTTGGAATGAAGAGGATTAGAAGTTGTTAGCGTACCTTTAACTTATGTTTTGCATCTTTTTCCAGGACAAGTCCAGCTTCATCAAATGCATCGATAATGACTTCTAAAAACGCTCAAGAAACTCAAAGGTAATTTTCTTTTAATTACTTTTAAGAACTGGAACGAAAAGGAATCAGCAGGAATCATTTTCATAACATAAGATAATCTTTTAGATGAAACTATAAAATGGATACGACAAGCACGTAACAGTCTTCCTTCATCATCAATTTCTTCCACGGGAGCATAGAGAACACGAGCTTTGGCCAAAGAACCTCTCATACAATCCTGATATGACACAATCATTATTAGGAGTCAAATATTTGGAATTTCCATACTGTAGAAACATAATTTTCTTTTTGAAACAAAACTACGTAGAGGGGTGGTGCTTTGATGGACAGTCAGCCAAGTTGATACAATGAAAAATGCAAGTCACCTAGAACATTTCTTAATCAAGAAACTAGTGTCATATTTAAATATTACAATTAGGTGACACCAAGGAGATTTGAGTTCAAAACTACAAGCCTTGTACCCTTAAAAGATTACATCCAGGTCTTACTTAGACATCAATACTACACGTTATCAACTAAACTTCAGGAAACTTTCAAAAGACGCATACAGATTAGTTTGCCAAAATAATGCAAAGTATGGAGATAATTATTAATTTTCATCCTTAAAAACACCACTTTATATAGTAAATTGTTGCTACAAGATTCCAACCAAAATAGAGATATTTCTAATCAGTTTGAAAGATGAATTGATCCTGAGTAGACGGCAGTTATGATTGAACTAGTACTTACATGGGAAGTGGTGTCTCTCAATAATCAATAAACAATCACAAAAGATTTGATGCTTGAATTTAAGAGAACTCACCAATCCCTTGAGCTTAACTAGTACTGGCCTATTATCCAATGCATCCATTATTTTAGTGGAGATGCCCTGAAAGAAAAGATGTGTCATCATATATATGCTGCACAAATGTTTAGCTAGTAAGTATAAATATCCAGCTAGTAAGTTTAATCACCCTCAAAACTTCAGAAGCAGCATCTACCCGCTCCTTGTTCCACAACTTCAACATAAGTACCGTCAGGTGAAATGTTTTAGGTTTTATAAATACTGATTTGTCAATTCCCAAGTCTGTCAAGAGCAATGCAAATCAGAAAAGTTCTTAGAAGAAAAATGAGATTAGCACTTTCCTAAAAAAATTAAAAAAGAAGAAAAAAGAAACCAAACCAAAACATACAGTTGACCATGTGTTAAACACAAGAGGTGAGTTGACATCTGCAAGCCAGGATCTCTTTGTGAAATAATAGATTCGATGGAGAAAGAATGAATAAAGATGGAAATATACTTTCACTGTCATGTTAAAATATTGGGCAGTTCCTATAGATCTATGTGAAATACAAGTTCTTGGACCTTTACTATGTTCAGTAGTTATCATACCAGATGGTGTAGAAGTCTTTGAAGCTTTAGGAGGATAACTGACGACAGGTATATTTATGTTCACTTTGACATGCTCCTGTTTATCATCCACTTTAAGTTCAACTGCAACATCTGGTTCTTTAACAGTATCTTGAACCTCAACTTCATTGTCTGTATTATCTTCATTAGTATCGCTGTCCTCCGCCTCATATAAACAAGACTCAGAACTTCCTAGTATAGAGTTCTGGAAATTAATAAGCTTCTCGACTAATTCAGGGTGTATAGCCAGAGGGAGGGACACAAAATGCGAGTAATCAAGACTCGGGCTTTTAATTGCCTGCATTTCAATGTAACAAAAAAATGATCAACTGTGCATTCTACAATACTAGTAAAAAGAAGAAAAGGAAAAGTTCGAGAACAATGTCCCAAGATCTGTAGATTCATCAGAACCACAAAAGAAGAAATATTACAGAAAGAAAATGCTTTAAGAAAACAAGAATAAGGGGAGAAAAAAAAAAGGAAAAAGAAAATGGACTCTCATCGAACCAACACCAGAGCCTCCTGCTGTGAAAATTGCTAATGAATCTTCAGTGGCAGGAAAGTTATTCAAGGCAATTAATTTGTTGTTAATGAATTGTTTGTGCATGCCAAGAGCGTTAATGAGCCTCATGATGTGAAGCATTGCCTCCCTTCGGTGAATGAGAAGACTTTGAAGGTTGCTGATGATGCAGCTTCCGTAGTTAATCACACTGGTATTGTTAGGCTTTCAAACGGTTTCTTTGGTTTTATTGTGGAAAGAGGAGTTTCCTTGTAACATCAAGTGGAATGCAGAACCTTGTTGTTTCCTCAATGGAACTCTGGTTTTTTCTCAAGAAGATTTTCTTAATTATCTCAAAGATTATTGTTCTTCAGCTCCCTTTCGGATTATCTTTGCCATCAAAATCAGTTTTTTTTTTATGGGTTTATGTAGTCAAAGCTTTATGGTTATTTGGTCGGAGTGTTTTCTATGATTTTTGAGAGCAATCTTTCTCTTTGGCTGATTCGATTCAGCTAGTCCTAAAGCTTCTTCACGGTGTTCTTTACCCAATCATTTTATTGGATTCCCTCCTCAAGACATTTGTTTGATTTGGATTGGGTTTATATTTTCTTGGTAATTTTATTTTGTTTTTACATTCACTCATTTTTTAAATTTGTGTCTTTTTAGCGTGATTCTCTTTCCATTTTTTCAGTGAAAAGCTTCATCTTCTGGTTAAAAAAAACACCATTAACATCAACTCATATAAAAAGGTCAGAAAATGAAGTATAAAAATTGGAACAACTGAGCATAATATATTTTCTAAAACAAACATAAAAGTGGATAACTTGCCTCGTCAATTATTGATTGTATTTTTTCTGAAGCTTTGGTTACACTATCAACTGAATTACCTTCAATAACTGTAATAATTAATAAAACAGAGTTTATTCTCAAAAGATCAATATCAGATATCTATTCAAGATAGAATAACAAAACTATATATATGACAAGACTTTTTAATTTAGCCTTGTTGGGACAGAGAAAATTGAACGAGCAATTTGATCAGAAAAGCCCTCCACGAGAGAATTAAAAAGCATAGCTTGTATTTTAAAAAAGAAAGCGGAACTAAAATAAACTAGATGTTATTTTATGTAATTAAGCTAAATGAAATGTACCAAATTCTGAAATCTTACCAACAAATTCTTCCTTCTTAGATGATGGAATCACAATCTCGACTCCCATCTCTTCTTCAATTCTTTCCTGTGTATATCCACTGTGGAACAATAGATGGAAAATCAATTGAGAACCCTGACCATAAATTACGACCAATATTGAGAAATGAAATTTACCCTTTCCCTCTGACAAATCGAATTAGAGAGCTCCCTACCTGCATATTAAACATAAAAAGACTAAATTGAAGAGTAAACTCAAGAAATTGATCTGATGAAGATACTTAGCGTATGCTCACTTACATCCAGTTTCACTGAAAACTTCTCACAGGAAGGCACAGATTGACCCTCCAAGTTTGTGTCTTCACCCTTATTTGGAAAGGCACTTGAACCAACACTTAGGTCAGTCACCACATTAATTTCTTCAGCCACCTCTACGACATTTTGAGCACTAACAGTACTGGTATGAATTTCTTGAACTCGACTTCCATCCACCGACTCAACTCTATCATTCTTAACCACCAAATCTACATCAAGAACGATTATCACCCACCAAAATTGAGGTTGTAAATGTTGGTTACTTCAGTTTAAGAAAATTAGGCCCTCTACGTACATAATTAATTCAACCGTCTAATGTGCAGCACCGATCATCATAAAGTACTTAATCCAGTTGGGGGATATTCACTATTATACTTAAGATGGACAACCAAACCCATGCCCTTGCTGTCAACAAAGAACTTAAATTTGGTAACTATAGAAGCTCGCTAACTCGTTGGATGTCCCAAAGTTAAGAGCTACGACTTATATGCTTTTGTAATATAAATTCAACCTACCCTCAGAAAGGCTGGCCTGAGTACACACTGGTCTCCATGCTTGAGTGATTGTTTTGCGCTCTTTCTTCTGGTCAGCAACCCTCCGGAATTCTTTTTTACCAGCCATATTCGCATTCAGGCTCCAACCCTTATAAGTATACAGTCCCTGACACATTGGAATGGAAGTCAGTTCTAGAACGACATAAGGAGTATAAGCCATTCCACTACCAGTTTATTAGAAAGAACATCATTTCAAATATGCACATTCCATCACTAGTTGTCTAATCCGGTTAAAACGCCACTCAACTCTAAAACTTCAGCCGATGGGATAAGGTATATCTAATCGTTATTTTTCCATGTTCTCTAACACTCATTCTCACTTGTGAGCCAGTAAGTAAGTGACTATCAATATTAATTGGGAAGTAAATGACAATACAAGAATTTGGACATAACCATCTTTCTTTGATAACATATTAAATCATTACTAAATCCAAAACATAAAATTGACAACTTATGGTATATTCAATCATTACTTTTTTTTCCCATGCTTCGATGAAACAGAAAATCAATACAACTTCAATTAACAGTTAACATAATGATCACCAGAATGGATTACCGGCTGCTGTGGGACAAATGGACTTGTATATTTCAGGAAGCGTTCGACTCTACAAAAACAGCACAGCAGATTAAACTTAGTTATATAACGAATCTTTTAAAGACTGAACGAAAAGTTTCATCCATTGATCGAGTGTAGATGTTTCTGATTAACTAAAATTTGTCAAATATAGTCGATCAACACTTCCTGTCAATCGATTGAGATTTAACTATTTGATTGAGCAGAGTTCCACTGAATTATAGATTATTTTCTGTTTCAATAGATGAAAATGAAGGCAAAAATCGGGCAATGTTAGACAAGCAGAAAGTTCAGAAATCTGTAGAATTACAAAATTTGAACTAGAGATTAAGGGCGGCAAGGATTTCTAGCATGCTTGTAAGACATTTCTCTGAACCAAACAGAGTTTTTCTGAATCATACCTGAAAAGAGACCTGCAAACTATCATTCGCAAACCCCCGCCTTATCGAACGAAACTGCAGAGAGCATTCAGCACAGTGGACGATAAAGGAATTCGCACGCAGAGGTAATTTTACATAAATAACCTTCTCTTTTCTTTTTATTTATTTTTTACTTTTTTGGTAATAATTAGACGCATCGGTTTATATTTGAGAAAACCGAAAATTTTCGGATTGGCTCGGTTTTTTTTTAGTTTGAAAAACCAACAAAAACCGAACCGAAGTTATATATACCCTAAAATGAAAGCCCTATTTCAGTTTCATTCTTTCGTTCCCTCCCGCTCGCGGTCTCTGCGTCTCCGAGGGGGTAGGTTCTTCGACAATCCCAGCCGGTCGCTTACCGTTAGTCGCAGCAACCGCGCACAGCTTCTCCTCGCCGTAGCCGTCGTTCGTAGCATCCACTCATCATTTATTCATTGTATGTAGAGACAACTTCTCCCCTGCTTCAGCCGCGTTGATTCTCCATAGGTATGACGTACTGCTTTTAAACTTTACTTAATGTCATAGTTCATACTCACACTTCTCGCCATTGTCTAATAGTCTTCAAGCTTTTTAGCTGTTACATACGACGATTACATTGGATAAGTTTTTCCATCAACCAAATCTTAAATCTAATCGCATTGGGGTCAGATAATTGTCAACCTTTTTGTTTTTATTTATGAGTAAATTATTAGAGCATTTTATTTTCTAAATTAGGCTGTAATTGATGGGTAAATGCCTAATTAAAAGGATTTTAGAAAAAAGGAAAAAAAAAAAGCTGAACTCAATTGTGGAAAGGTAGTAGGAACTTGAGATCAAGCAGATAGATTAAGAAGCCAAAGAATCTTGATGATGAAGATTCTGTGCAAGGATGAACTAACAAATCACAGATAGAGAAGGGGATATTGAAGACCAAAGGGTTTAGAAAGAAAGAAAAGAAAAATCTTGGAGCTTGAATTGCGCTCACTTTCCCTTGGAGAAGAGATGAAAACGTAATGGACTGAACAATTCTAACATGTTTAACTGACCATATTAATGTCTTTTTTACCATTTTTTCGTCAATTACTAACTTTCATACAAACTTGTTAGCATTGTTTGTATGGAATTTAAGATCTTGATTGTTCCTGTTAAATTCATAAGGGTTGGGTCAGTGACCGATTGTTTTAGGAACTCATGTACGTTATCCAGCTAAGATCTCGATTTTTTCTGTTAAATTCATTAGAATGTCGATTTCAAAATAAATCCAGTTTTCATTCAGTACTTTTGAATCTTGGGTCTATGTTAAATTCAGGTCTCCTAAATGTTTGTTTTGTTTCTAACAAATGCAAACCAACCCAACTAAATTGGTAAATAGCCCATATATTATTGATGGATTGTTGATATCTTTCCCCTCCATGCAGTTAGATAAATTGTTTGGAATTTTAAATATAACTTTCCAGATAACCTAAATGTACAATTGTGTATGCAGGAGGATAGAAGTTTTGCCACTTTGTTGTTGATAACTATTTTAGAACATCCACAAGGCTGTCGCGATCAGTTGGTGGTTATTGATCATGGATGTAGGAATTGATAACTTTCGGAATGAGAAAGTTCAAAGGTTTGAGGAATTTGTTGACCGTCGCTTGAAACCTGATTTGGTGCATGCAATCTCTGAAAGGTATGCATTTGTTTCAGATTCTCAACTTCATGCATTTTGAAGGATCCCAATGAAGCATTTACTATCTGACGATGTATAGAATGTTCATCTAAATTGATATTACAATTTTCTATCTAGCGATTTATAGATTGTTGATGGGCAGTAATGTGGACTTTGAGTACTTTGCTGGTTGAATTTTTTTTCATTGCTTGGTTTTTAGAAAAATTTTAAATTTAGTTTTGATGGAATTTAATTTCATTATTTATTAAAGCTCAAAATTTAAGTAGTAAAATTTCTTATAAAACTATTTATTTTGTACATATGAAAATGCAAGCATAAAGTACAATGATGAAAATGAAATTTCTCAAAATGTTCTTTTTGTGCCCCATATATTGAATTGATTCCCTGCAAACAAACAATTTCTAAGGTTAGTTATTTCTTTAATTTGGGAGTTTTATAGGATCTTGGGAAGAGGAACGGAAGAAAAATGATTGTTTGTGAGTATTTTTGAAAACTTGAGGGATGTAAAACTTATTTAACTGTTTTTTCTATATTGTTTGTTGTTTGGCAGGGATAAAGTGTTTGAGCAGCAGAAGGTGTTGTATCCTTTTAATTCATTTGAAGCCTCCAGATTTATGGCTTTACTTCATTCCCAATCATCCCTCATACTTCTGTCGCTTGTGTTTTGTTGCATTGTCAATGGTATTTACGATGTTTTACACTTAACATTTCTTTACCATTAGTTCAGACCTTCGTCGAAACATTGAGAATTTGGAGAAAAATAGTATAACTAATCTCACAACGTTGGTCAATCTTGGCTCTGAAGTCTATGTACAAGGCAATGTGTAAGTTTTTCTTACCGAACTAGATAATGAATCTGGTGGCCCTTTTTTTTTAATTTCCTTTTACCATCTGTTAGCATTTGGGCACCTCGGGTGCCTGTTATATTTGGTTGTCTTAAGGATTTTAATATTCTAGATAGGTGGCAATCATAGAGTTTAGATTCATTTTCTCTAATGCCCTGTTACTTTATTGCTAGTCCCATTGTATATTAGGTCATCCTTTGGCGGTTAGATTAGATATCAAGCTATTTGGGAGTTATTATGTTTTTCTTATTTTTTATGTTTCAAAAGAATCAAAGGGAACAATAACTCCCATGTAGTTTTAGGTGATAGGACCCTCCTCCCCCCTCTTCAGCGCACTAAAAGCCTAAACAACCACAATATTGCCTATGTTTTCATTTCCCTTATTTATAATCAATTCCTAATAAGAAACTTTTTAGCTAAATGACTAACCTTAGTATCATAGTACTAATATTTCAAATGTCAAAATACAATTCTAGTCCCCATTCTTTTAGCTAAATGACGGGTTGTTCCAAATATTGCCCAAAATGGGCTATTCTATGGGTAATTCACTCTTTAAAAAAGGTGATCCATGTCCATTCCAATTAATGGTTTGATTGAGTTGAGTCGGTCAAACTTTGACTTTGGGCTGAATTTGGTTCGAGCCAAAGCCAAGGCGCAATGAGCCCCCATTTAATTTACCTTTCTCAGGCGAATTTACTCGATTATCATTTGCACTTTTACAGGGCAGATACACGAAGAATATTTGTAGATGTTGGGCTCGGGTTTCATGTGGAGTTCACATGGTCTGAAGCTTTAAAGTTCATTTCTCTCAAAGAAGAAAGGTTAGCCAGGTAAGTGTTTTAATAAGCATTGCCGGTGTGGTTCAGACTAGTGCTTGAACACGCAAGTTTTAGGATCTTAAGGTCCTTTAAGGTTTCAAATCTTCGTTTATTTAAGAGCCTGTATATGTTTTTGTTGTAACCACGCAGACAGACAGAAGAATACACTCATTTAATTGCATCAATTAAAGCGCAGATCAAGTTGGTATGCATTTCATACTTCAAAATTTTCCATTAATCAAATATTCATACTTCTGGGATCCTAAAACTTACATTCATGCCCCTTTTAAGCTACTTTTTTTGTTTATTCTTCATTTGGAAGACGGGGGGGGGGGGTTTGGTGATAGGTGTACATACGATTATTTGAACATTTGATTTGCAGGTCTGTGAAGGGATTCGTGAATTATTACAACTTCCAGCAGAGAAGACTGTGGAAGGACGTGTATTTTAAGTTCCGTTCCTCATAATTCCTCCTTTTCTAGGAATGAAGATGGTCCTGAATCACTGCTCTGTGTATAAAACCCGTAATTTTTATGCATTTTGTAAACTTGTTCATCTTTTAGAATTTAAGAAGAAAGATGGCTAATGAAAATACTGCGCCACCTTATCTGACAGTGGCAGAGTACACTTTCATGAACTTGAAAAAATTATGAATGGAATTAGACTGCAGGTTTATTAAGTGCCCAATTTTGCTTGGTTGTCTTGCTATTATTATGCCTTCTTCTATCAATTTACGGTATATTTTGAAATTGAAATATTATCTTGTGACCATTGTAAAATTTGGTTTTGGTTAATTAGTTATTAATCAGTAAAAGAACTGAGCCAAATTAGTTCTTAAAAGTTTACTCTGATTTATCCTGGGAGAAGTTATAGCTCTTGATGAGAATGACTACAAGAGACTGATAACCCACCGTAAATGATTCTTAATCTCAAATTAATTAATTAATTATTTATTTGTTTTTATTAGCGTATTTGATGTTATTATTTAATTTTTCTTTTAATTTTTAGACCCACCTAAAACCGCGATTATGAACATACAACGTAATTGCTCAAAATTAATATAATTTGAGGGTCATATTTGTATTTTCACCTATGATATATTATAAATATATGATGAATTTGAAATGATTCCATGCTTGACTAAGAGTAATGAAACAGTGGCTGATGAAGGCAAGCAAGAATAGGCCTGAAAGTTCTTCTGTTGCGCATTGTTTGGACAAGGAAAGAACCCAAAGGCAAAGCTAAAAAGCTGAAAAAAGAAGGAAAAATAAAAGCTTTACAAATCCCTGTAATTTAATTGGAAGCCATTGCAGAAACTGCTCAGAAACCTTCCTGTTCCCCTTTTCTTCGCCATGGTTTGTCTGGGAATATTGTTTGGCTGCAACAGCTCTCCCTCCCCAACTGACCATCTTCTGTCAGCTTTACTCCTCGTAGCCATTCTTTCCTCTCTCCGTCTCCTCTGCTACTTTCTCACCGGCTTCTTGAAGCGATACCGTCAACGTCGCTACGACCTGAGTCCCGACCATGCCATCCAACTCCAGCTGCAGATTTCAACACCTCTGCCAGATAACAAGCTTCTTGCCCCTGCTGCACCTGCACCTGCACCTGCACATGCTCTTCCTCCTCTTCCTGCTTTCTCGAGATAATAGAGCATGTTTTGTGTCGTTTTCGACGTTCAAAAATGTCGTTCTTGACGCCCCTTTTGTGCATGATTGTTCAGCTAGTGTTATGCATTGACGTTTTCGAGCTTAGCTTCGATTTGGCCGTAATGAGGTACTGAAATGAAAATGTTCTTAATGGGGTATCTTTTTAGCAGTAATGTAGAAAGAGAGAAATGGGAGCTGTAAGTGCAAACAAAATCACAGGAGATTCACTCTTTACTTAAGAGGGAGGTAATGATAATTAAAAATCAACACACAGCACATAATTGTAGTCTTTCAGTGAAACTGGAAAATGTTAGCATTTCATAACATACAACATTAGTTTATAAAATCTCAGGAGATGTTGTCCTCTAAGCCTCACTCGGGACTTCATCTCGCTAGTTTCGGTTCTTGCACTTCTCTATGGCCCTCGGCGCTGCAATTCAACGAGCAAAAACTTCTTCAGATACATATAATTACAAATATGCTATACTCGAGATATTATGCCTTAACTTACCTAGCCCGATTGCTTCAGAACCTTTCATGATTCGGAGTCGTCTACACGAATCAGTGAACATCCTGAGATATCCAACCCAAACAAACAATAAGAAAGAAAGTAAACACAAATAGAGCATGTACGCTTTCCAGTTAAGAAAAACAAAACAATTGATCAGAAATGAAGATTTGGATCGACGACGCCTATATTAATCATATTGACAACGCCATACGAACATGAGCTACAAGTCTTAGGCATCATGTTCAAGCATAGAAAACAACACATGTACTGCTAGGCAAGAGCTCAAATAACGTGTTCTACTCATCATTCACGTAATAAATCTACACATATTGAGTCGTCTCTTTGTTTCATAGATATAAAAACGAACGAAACAAACTAAAGGGAATCGACTTACTCCCAGGGGACGTCACCAACAAGCATCCAATCTCCATCTTTATCTTCATACGTCAACACATACTCAGATCCATGGAGGAAATCCGTTAAATTACTTTCACTCAGACGCTCTTTAGTTGGAAGTCCTTCAGTACCACACTGCCCTGAAGAGCATTAGAACACCAAATAAGCTTTTCGTCACATTGAGTCGATAAAAGAACGAAAAACGAGGAACAAAGTTAATAGATTCATGTGGATCAAATCTTTGATGAGAGAAAGGAGGATATACCAATAGTGAAGCAGCTAAACATCTTCTCCAGAGCCAACGATAGTTCAGAATAGTTACTGCACAGTTTAAGATCAACCTTTCTTAGATATGGAGCACCTTCCATGCTAACTTTCACATAGAGGCAACCGGTCAACTCCGATTTCCCCTCGGCTTCATCGGCTTTCTTGGTCGAATTGGTAGAGGTCATGGTGCTCTTCCTGAAGGATCGAATCGGTGGCCATCCCACAACCTGTGCCCTGCGTTTCATAGCTTTTCGCTCAGTATTCTCCGAAGTGAAAAGCGGAGAGAAACTTCAAATGCATATTTGTAACAGCCCCAACCCCACCGCTAGCAGATATTATCCTCTTTGGGCTTTCCCTTCCGAGTTTCCCCTCAAGGTTTTTAAAATACGCCTACTAGAGAGAGCTTTCCATGCTCTTATAAAAAATGTTTCGTTCCACAGTATTAGACATCAAAACCATATAAAATAAGAGAGTCCAATCTCTTCCTATACATCATCCCCACACGAACACACTTTTCAAGCCTATTCTCTTATCGTCTATCATTGTTGGAGGCATTCATCACAAACATGATTGAAAGCCTGTGCCCAACAAGGGGAAGGAAAGTGATAAAGAATCATTACAAGGGAAGTAAGATTCGAATTACCTTATTGACCGAATATCTCAAGGCAAGAACACTTGTTTCAGATTCGAATCATTCCACAAGCAAGATTGAATGATTTGAAACATGCAATCTAAATTACATAGAATTGCAAAGGAAAGGTAAGAACACTTAGCCCGGATGATAAAGAATCACTCCAAGGAAAATCAAATATCTCAAAGCAAGAACACTTGTTTGAGATTTGAATCACTCCACAAGCAAGATCGATCATGTCAAGTTTGAATGATTCTACATGCAACTTAAACTACATAGAATTACAAATAAATATAGTCATTGGCTAAAGGAAATCACAAACACTCCGACTCCCAATAGGCCAAGCAGCTCCATGTTCATCATAATCAACCATGATTCTACTTTGAAACCAAGCATAAACTGATCTCAATTTTCCACAACACAGACTACAACAAGCAGATATAGCTACCCAAAGCATTGTAATGATAGCATTAACAAGAAAAACATCCAACCCAACAGAGAAATTAACACTAAACCCAACAATTAATTCATTCAACTCAGTGAAGAACAGCAAATCAAGAGAAGGAACAACAAAATTGCTAGCTTACTTAGCCAAAGGAGCACCACCATTTTCAGAAACCTGAGGCTTCTCCTCTTGAGCAGGCTTAGAAGATTGGTTAACAGGAACCACTTCCTTCACAGCCTTCAAAGAACCACAAGCCTGTGGCGCATTAACAGTGCTCGGCGGCATCCCACTTTTGGGCGAGAACAACATGGTCCCTTCGCTTAGTCCATTACTCCCAGAGAAACCCCATTTTACAGACGACCCATCAATGGCGTCAGAGAAACCCCTCTTAGACCCAGACACAAGATTCTTCAAAATACGAGAAGAACAGAACCCATTACTCTGTTTATCCTCAAAATCATTGCTAAAGAGCGAAATCCCAGTTCCCGATTTCCTCTCAGACGACTGAAAACCAGGCAATCCGAGCCTTAATTCAGTGTCCTTGAAACTCACAGTAGCGCAGTTCTTCTCCTCGTTCGTACCAGGAGGAGAAGAAGATGAAGCAGAAGAAGACGATGAAGAATTCTTCTCGGGGGTTCTTTCCATCGAAGAATCCTCCGTTAATCCAATGTAATTATGTTCTAAGCGATTAGACATCAAAAATGACAGAACCAAGTTCTTCAAAATCGCAAGAAACAGAGGCAAAAAAGGAGAAGAGAAGAGACAGAGAAGGGTCTGAATAAGCTCCCAGATTACTGATTTTGTTTACACACAAAAAGAAGTTTCATCGCCCCTTTCTGTGGCAACAGAGACTTACCCTTTTCCCCATTTACAAAATCGAAATGAAAAACACCGCTAAATCGACATTAAAACGCTCTAGAACGCCATTAATCTTACATTGGGCCCTCATCCTAATGAACAGCGTAAAAGGGGTTTTAGCTAAAGCTGATTAGTTTAAGATTAGGAGTGATTTGTGTAAAGAAATGGTTTGGTCTGTGGTCATTTTTTAGGATAAAAGTTGAAGGATAGAACAGTAGGCGTCCACGAGCCATGGGAGAGAGCGAGAGGAAAGGGAGCCAGTCATCGGCTGAAGCTGAAGGAGATTGTTTCTCTCAGCTTCAAGACAAAAATTCCATTTTTGTTGATTTTTTTTTATTATTATTATTTTAATTTTCTAATTTATATGTATATTCGTATTAAGATTTGAGATTTTATCATATGGGGACAACTGCAGTCTGCAGCCTGCATCTTCCTTGCTGCACAGTTTCTAAAAGAAAATATAAAAAAAAAAAAAGTATTTTTTTAAAAAGTACTTTTTAGTAGTTATAATTGACACGATAATCCAACTAATTTGTAACGTACCACCTAAACCATAAAAGTTAGGTTATGTTATTTTTTTTTCTGGGTTAGGTTTAATTTTTTGAAAACTAAAACTTCGGGTTAATTTACCCGTTGACATTTCTTTTGTCGGAGTTCAAAAAATAGAGTTACAATCGAACCCTACTCTATCTTTATTTTAAAATTATTATGAAAATTAAAAATATTTGACGTTTATAACTAATGTTAGTAACCTCTTGTTTTGGTAGAGTAGAGGACTCAAAATCTTCGTATCACCGATTTGCTATCAAAATAAATAAGGATAATGTGTCAAAAATTGCCGGTATAGCTTAGTTGGTAGAGCAAAGGATTGAAAATTTTCGTGTTACCAGTTCAAATATGCTATTAAAAATACGTCTAATGTTTCGAAAAGGAAATGGCCA